GTGCACTAAGAAACTCCACCTGATGGGGAACATGTGGATATTTCTCAACAATAAGGTTGCAGTTTCAACAAAATGCTAAAACTCTTTAGCATGATCATGAAACTGCATACACAATGCAATCAAATCACTTCTAAGACTGTTTCGATCAATCGTGTCTGTACTGAATTTGTCCAGTTGGTGTCACTCCTTTGTCATGTGAAAGGCTTAAATCAATTTCTTTTCATACCTTTAATAGTGACGTTCAATCGGCGCCACACTGAAGGACCACTGCGCTCAGCTGGTACATCTCCGTTACTTGGCCATGATCTAAACCCAAGACGCACATTTTAAGAACGTGTCCACAGCAGTTCAGGAAGAAAAGAAAAAAAATCTAAATCGCACTCACAGTAAAACACACTTGCCGGGTTAGAGATGGTTTCGTAGGACCTCTCGTCGATACCATCTCCGAGTGGGTCATTCACTGCGTGGTATTTGCCCTTTCCAGTCCCGATGTCCTGTAAACATTTCACAACACTATAAATGCTGTCCAAAAGTTTCATTTCCGCTAAATAAAACATGAAATGTTTCCTTTTTACTTGGACGATGTCATTCACGTAACACAAACCAGATGCTTCGGACTGCTTGGCGTCGTGGAGTCCACCGGCCCAGTTGATGGCGATATGGGTCTGCTGCTACACCTGAAAAGATTTACTTCATCAATGTCATACGTGAACGAGCGCACGCACACGCTTAAAAAATGAAAACGTAAATTCGTACCCCCGATAATAATGTGCCGTCTTCTTCATTACTATCTCATCGTTACAATGAGCTGCAAAGTGCAACTATCACTCTGACGGAAACGTTCCCCACACAAGTCGCTGCTTCACAAACACGTGGCTAACGTTGCAACACCCGAAGTGTTTGGATCACTCAAACCAAAGGGTCTTCGTGCACATACTTCGAGGCCAAATCACAAAACGCTGACTGAAGCGATACGTGCAGTCAGAACTGGTTTAAATGTGCAAACCGTGCGGCTCAAACAAGCTACTGTTTAGCAAGCTAACCGTTTGCCCCACTCGGCAGACGGTTTAAAACAAACCGTCTTACACGGAATACTGGTCCTTCACATGACGCGTTAATCGTCAAAGTGAAAAGAACCAGAGATGGAAATACTATTTCCGAAATACGTACCGTAGGAACAAAAGCAAACTACTTTCTTTATGCCTTAACACAGCGCCATTTTGCAACATCACCGGAACAGGAAGTAGTACCACTTCTTTCCGCTTTTAAAGCGCACGGCTGCGCCTCGTTATCCAATCACAAGCGTCCTGCACGGCATCTACAATCCACCAGGTTGTCACCTGTGTGATATGAGGAGGGGCATAATGGACTAGGAGGGGTAGGAAAGGGGAAAATAGGAGGAGGGTGTGTTTTCTCATTTATCATGAATCTACGTATATACTAGTTTAATTTGTGTTGCTTATGTCAGAGTTAATTGCATGCAAATCAAAAAATCAATGTATAGAATTTTCACCTGAACCCTCTTACCCAGTGGATGGATGTGATATTGGTATACCACAATAATTGTAATTGTAAGTAATTGGCAGAGGATGGATATTTTACTGTTCCTTTTTAAAGGACAAAACAAAGAAATACATACAGTATACATAAGAATGGTCAATATTTCAACATATTTTAATTAAATTTGTGTGTTAAAATCGAACTATATAGAGATATTTAAAAAACCCAACATACATAAATGCATGTATACAGTAATACAAATATGAAGGCTTACAGATAGTCCTTCCATTCAACCAAAGTCTGTCCAGGTGCTGGACAGAACCATTTGCCTCTGTGCTGCATATGGCCAGGAACTTTGCTTTTACGTTTTCCGTGCAGCTTACAGATGTAGGTGTAATTGTCTTTTTGATGGCTCTTTTTTGGTTGGTTCTCTCTTCGCTTTGCTCCTTATCCTTCAGAGCTGCCTTTTTCATTCTGCACTCCCGATGCCTGTTGAATGCTTGAGACGATGATGATGATGATGAGGAGGGGAGGAAACATGTACAGATTGTGTTACATTTAACTGTTACATTTAAATGTTAGATTCATCATAGAACATTTCATCCTGAGATAAAGTGAGGTTTATATATATATATATATATATATATATATATATCATGGCTGCATATATATATATATACAGCCATGACATATTTTAGTGAGAGTGCGTCTACATTAAATAAACAGATATAAATATAATTAGAATATACATTACAACTATTAGCTTATATTTAGAATTCATATAGTCAACAGAGAAAAATCCTACGGATCCAGATAAATGTGCTTAATAAACATTTATACACATCAACATAAATATAGGCTTATTGTCACTGTATAATGTTTGCAAATATGTTTGGCCTTTCTTCACCTGTATATATATTAATAAAAATAATAAAATTATCTCAGATAACTTAAAAGTATGATCATGTAAAATCTCCGATGTCTGAAAGTACCATGAAATTAAATCTCAGATATCTGAAAGTACAATGATATTCACGTCATAAGTGGTGGGGCAGTGGTGCCTTAGAGGTTAAGGGGTGTAGGTGTACCAGGTGAACCAGGTAACATTAGCACTAAAGGGTGGAGGGTGGTATAGGGGGAGGGAGGTGATGTGAGGGGTAGACGTGGTGGAGGGGTGTGGTGTGGAGGGATACCAGTGATACCAGGTGACAATACGGCTTTGGGGGTGATGTGGGGGATAGACGTTGCGGGTGGGGGGGGCTTTTGAAAGAGACACAGGTGAATGTGATCACACTAATCAAATCAACAGCCAGGCAGGAGACACAGACAATGGAAACTGAAGTGTGGTTTTAAAATAAAGACAATGGACCATGTTGAAGTTTAATTCTTGTGCTTTACAACATCACTCTCTCATATATATGTGTATATATATATATATATACACACATATATATATATATACACATATATATGTATATATATATATATATATACACACATATATATATATATACACACATATATGTGTATATATATATATATATATGTACATATATATCACTATATATCCCTTTTTTGACATTTTTCTTAATTTATAATATGTTCTAAAACACATGTTTTCTAGCTAAATGATACCTGTTTTTGGCTATCTCTAAGCCTTTACTGGGCTAGTAGTCACCCTCCAGAATGATTTTTTATAACAAAATTTATTTAATTATCATTAGCTGTATTTGGAACACTCTACTGAAGTACTACAGCAGTTTTCTTGACTTATGTGTACCAACCTAACAGCCTGTATTATTTGAAAGAGGACAATAAGCTGTAGTGCATGTGAGCTAGAGAAGCCCAGATGGACAGCCCAGTTGGTCTATTGGTGTGTTTCCAGTGAGCTCAGAAAAGGAGAGAGTGAGAGGAGGAGGAGGAAAAGGAGAAAGGGTTGCAGAGCAGCAAACAATGATGGATGATGAAGATGAAAAGTCAGATCTGAATAAGAAGAAGAGGAAAACATAAGTTCTCCAGGAACAAATTAACAGACACATGAAAACACCCACAGTGATACACCCACAGGTGTTTAGTTTGCATTGAACGTTGTAAAAGGAAACTTAGCTTGGGATGTCAAAAGTAGACATTCAATAACACAAGACATAACCATCTGCCATGTGTGGTTCACAGAGAGTCAGTCATCCCAGGGTGGTGCTTGCGGTGAGACGTCTGCGGAGATAACTAGTGAAATCCAGCTGTTTTTGAGGCAAAGTGCGATCGACAATCGACTGTGGCAGCCAGCACTGTGAACATAGTTACCTTGGTTAAGCAATTAAAATACAACAGTAAACAAAAGGGATGCCAATAGCCTGCAGTACAATATGTACTGTCACATGTAAATTGTCTGCTTTATGGAAATGCATTTTAATGAGCAAATTAGTGGTAGCATCACGGTTGTTTTATATTTCATGTACGGTGGAATTGCTTGAATAAAAAATACAATTATCAAAATAAAAGAACCATTCAAATGTGTAGTACTGTATTGACTTATGGCTCTAATTTCTTCCAGCAGATTATCAAAATAACTACTCACAACTACCTCCTTACTCACTTCATCGCCTGCTTCGACTGGCTGACAGATTGTGCTCTTTACTTCCTCTTTCACCTTCAAACCTCCCGCCTCTGTATTCTTATCAGTGTCACCAGCGTAGTTAACTGTGAAAATAAAGTACTAATTCTTTGCAGCCATCCCTTATCTTGAAATTTCATATTTAATAACGTAACATGACTTGTGGTTGCTATAGCTGCTGTGTTGGTAATCCCCAGACACTAAACACGGGGCCGAGTGTTTACCTACAGAATATTAGAGCCTGCTGCTAGAGACTGCTGTGCTCAGAAGATATATTGGCAATTTATTGCCGAAGCACAATCAGACGTCCAGATATGTCAACATCTTAATCATTGAAAAGCTGGTGGAAGTGATAGAGACTAATGCCTATGTACAAAAAAGTCAATACAGCAATGACTGACTATTGCACTACTAGGAGACAGCAGGAAAGAAGAATCAGAAGTGCTTTATTTTTCACCATCAGGGACATTGTAAAATTGTTCTAATTTACCTTGACATCCATATTTAAAAGCCATGTGAAGTGGCTTTTTCTGCTTTCTCCATTTACTGCTTCTATGATGATGCATGTGGGTCCATCCTCTGCTCTGTGGACATGGAAAATGAAACGGTTAGTTCAGTTTGCATATTGAATATGAAGTGCACTTTATTGTATGCCCATCTCACTTAAGTCATAAAAAATATATATGTTAAATTAAATTTAAATCAAATGATAAATTAATGCATTAAATAAAAATATTTCTAACATAATGTAATATAATATAATGTTAAATATATTCAATTTTGGACCCAAAATAAAATTTGATTATTTTATCCATCTGTTTTATTTTGAAAGATTTTAAAACACATATGTTTAAATGGGCTCAGACTGCAAAATAAATCTGGTATTCAGACCTTTATCTCTAAAAAACACTATATATTGCACCAACGTATGAAGAAAGTTGCTGCCTGGCATATCACCCACCTGACAAAGCCTGCCTGAGGCGGGAACTTCTCCAGCTTAATAGCTCCTCCTCCCAGGTAAACTCTGGATTTTTGTTTGCAGCTATGTCTGACACTCAGGAAATCCCTTTGGCCAAACAGATTTCTTTCTGAAACCTCATGCGTGACAATGGTTTTAGGTCCTATGTGTTTGAGAACCTGGAACAGGAGACAGAATGATACATTGATAATCCTAAATATATATTTACTCTTATAAACTAAATAAACTTTATATATAAATAATATGTTGAGGTACATTGATTCAATGCATGTAGTTGTATGGCATAATATGAGTCAGACAATTGGTAACATATAAAGGATTTACATCAACTGTATTTCTTTTCTTTTTTGTCTCATGATCTACCAGTACTCCCTTTGTGATCTACTGGTAGACTGTGATCTATTTATTGGTGATTTAAACACTTATGGACATTATTATTGGTAAACTAATTTACTAATAAAAAAAGGACATTTAAGAAAAACAAATCATAACTCAACAATCTTAAAGCCCTGGTCATTAATCTTTGTTGTGTTTGATTTGCAGTTAATGCGATCTAAAAAAATGTTAAATATTGGTACGGTCAGGAAAAAACAAAGTCATTTAAATCATGTTTTGATTGAGACTCAGTCACAGCTTAGAATACCCTTGTTTAGTATGCATGTCTCATTAGGGTGGTAGATACAGTAAAATAGGATCATGAGGAACATATGAAGGTGCTCACTTTGATATGCTGTATTTGTGGATTCCACTTGTGCATCTCCTCCACTCTTGCAAACAGAAGGTCATACAGCTCATCCACACTGGCCTCCAGCACAGCCTCCAACCTGAAGACCGTCCTAGCCCCTGGGATCACTTTGCTACAAATCACGTCTCCGTTACTCTGGAGGGAAGGAATCATAACATCGTGATGTTAATAAAAGTCTTCCTCATCATGGAGAGCAGTAGAGAACCCAGCCGTTACCTCTTTGAATCGCACCTCCCAGCCATCTTTATCTTCCAGTATCCTCAGAGCCTTCAACATTGCTTGTTGGCCGAGCTGCATGTGAAACAGTGGATCATTTGGCTCAGCCGTTACACGCTTTGGTTTGGTTTCTGCAAAACACATGCGTGGGATCAACACTTTCACTAAGGCCCCTTGAAATAAAAATAACAGAAAAAGTGTGTTTTACCATCAAAACTTGAATCAATCTGTGCTCTTGGCCGCTGCAGGCTTGTGAATTCCTGGCCTATCACTGCCACAGCTGTGCATTGTAGCACTGCAGGATTGAACATCGGAGGGATTCAAAACAAAAAAAGAACAACAATGAAGATGTTCAGATAATGCCTGGCTGCAAAAAGACGTGAAGTGAGAAATTAGATGGCTGAGTGTTTACCTGCCGTGCTCCTTAGGTGTGGGTAGGAGATGCCACAGCAGAGCTTGACAACAGCAGGCAGCATGTTCACTGTCGATGGCAGTGATGGCAAAATAAAGGAGTTTGGCTTTGGTCTTTATACCGTCCCTGAAGGACACTCTGTTAAGATAAGACCCAGAGAAGAAGATAGGAACTGTTCTGAATTCTGCACTGAAGGTCAGGCCTGAAATGTAAGTAAACCATTGACAGAAAACACATTTGAAACACATTCAAAGTGGATAGATGAGGAGATTATAGAAATAAAACATCTATTATGCAAACTACACAGTATTACTTGAGTATTTTTCAAGTATATTTTCGAGTATTTTTCAATTGTGTATTTTGGTGTAGGCAGTGATGGTCAAAATGCTGTTGTTGAAATGTTATTTCCAAGTGACTGGCTGATGCAAAAACAATGTCGTAGATTTTCAAAATAAAGTAAAAAGAAAAACTTAGTTTTACAGCCCAAATTCACAACATTTTCCAAATAATCCAAATCCTCTACTTCGATGTTTCCCAACCTTTTTTGAACCACGGCACACATACAACATTAGGAAAATGATGTATGTGTGCGGCACATCCCCAAACAAAAATCTCATGTAATAAAATATAATACTATTCTATAGTTTAAATTAACTAAAAATGTACTCCTGTTTAGTTGAAGACAACACTGATATACTGGCAGGAATTGAAGAAAGACACAAAGATCTTTAACAGCTCTGATTATCTTTTCTTAGTTTTGATAACCATCTGCTGCCACCTAGTGGAAGATGATTCAATTGTTCTGCCTGTCACACATTGCCGAACAAAGAAAAAATATTTGCAATAAATAAATAATATTTTGGGAACAATTAAGTAACATTGGATAATTTTCCACAGCACACCAGTGTGCCACAACACAGCGGTTGGGAATCACTGCTCTACTTCTACCTACTACTACCTCTACGTCGGACTCAGTCAGCATTGACTCTGGTTTTATTGTGTCTACAACCAACTGATAAGTGCAGCTCTGACAGCCAGATCCAATAGATTTTTTTTGCCTGGTCTTTCTTGGTCCTAAAATCCAATATTCTACAGAGACGTGTGGCTTGTTATAAGAATACTGAACACCACAGCCGTAGCCCATTGTGCGCTGATAATGAAGTACAATGTTTTGCTTTTCAAATGAAAATATGGCCAATACATAAGAGTGGTTTCACAGAGCTGTCCTCTTCTTCTACCATAAATAAAGAACTGCTGCACAAAGGAGGCTGCAGCAAAACACAGTCCTCAAAAGACAACTCAATACTACGTGTACGCGCACATACAGTAGTACGTGTGGTCAGAGAGTACCAGAGTGCCCTTAACCCTTAATGCCATTCTGTGACTTCCCAGAATCCTCTGCTCTAATGCTCTCCTGCTTTGAGTGAGGCAGAAAAATTGAGCCAAGCACAAACGCAGCTGAAAGAGAGATGAGAGAAAATATTGAATTGAAATTCTTAGCCTGGATGAATCCCAATAATTTTACTTTCTATTAAAATTAAATTACTATCTTATTCTATAGGAATACGGTTTTAGAAACATTTTCACTTAAATATGTCACTTTATTGCACCATTTCTGGTTTTGGAAGTGATATATCATATCTTGTGTGTGATATCTATAAAATACCATCGAGGGCCTGGTGCCTCCTTCTCCACTCAGTGGTGCCAAGCAGAAATGTTTCTGATAGTGTCTCAGGAAACAGCTGCCTCTTATCGCCTGGAGCCAACAGGTGTCCTTGTGAGAAGATTCATGACGTCAATGGTCAAGTTCACCTGCTGACCAGGCCGGCACAGCATGTTATAATATACAGACGAGAAGAAATATTACGCGCCACAATTTTGCATCTTCATAACTTCAGCAAGGACAGTTACTTCAAAAATATCTTAAAATTAGTTCTAGAGGATAATATAGCCTTCAACTGTGAAATAACTGAAAACACACAAAAGCCTGCTTAACAATTTTAAGATTTAGCCTGCGATAAAGAAAACGTATTCAGGGAAATAGTATAATGTTCCAACACCAAAACAAACAAAAAAAGTTTCTATCCCCAACCCTAACCCTATTTTTCTGCACCTTTGTTGTTATTCATAGAAACATAGAAACATAAAAAATTCATAGAAACATAAAAAGAAGTTCCTCTGCTCATCAGTGTGGAGGGGGCCAGACTTGTGGAGGACAGTGCTTCAGTATAATAAGCCCGTTTCTGTGTTATCTAAAATTACAGATTACACGTCTTTGAATCTATAATGCAATATGATTTTGAACAAATGATTTCTTTTATCTTCCTGTGAAGCTCAGTGACCACAGAGGTGTCTCTATTGTCCACTGTGTCTTCTTTGTTCGGTTGGCCTGTTATTATACAATTGTTGATGGCGTTGGCTCGACAACAGGAAGCTCCGGGGAGCATTTGTGGTCATTTACCGTTCCTGTTCGTCCATGTTATCTCGTCACTGTGATTCAAATGTATTTTTTTTTCTACAGCTGCCTTAGAATGTGTCATCGGTTGTTGTAGAAGAGCCTCGTCAATCTGGTGTGAGATCTGAGCTGGTATTTTTATATGAGTTTTTTCTATTATCCAATACTGTGTGAGAAAGTCTTCCTGTGGATGAGTGACAGAAATCAGCCTGATCGATGTTTTCATTCCTCCCTACATCCGTCATGTGACACATCCTCCCCATACAAGGTTGGCAACTAAACTAAATCATTTATACATAAGGGAAAATTGGGAAAATGCATTATTTATGAAATCCAACTTAAGTAGAACACTTTGACAAACCACCAAAATCATTTAAGAATGCCTTTAGGACACTGGTGCCATGGAGTCTTTAAAGGAAAGAAGCTAATCTGGTCTGCTCCAGATTAATGCATGCGTTAACAATGTACTTTATATTGTTGAACAACTACAGTATTCTTTATCATGTACATTTTTTCAAGATATATTGTGTTGTTTTTCTATCATCTATTATCATTTCGAACCACCTACGTAGAAAATTCAATGGAGTAAAGAACACCACAGAGGACGTGGGGAGGAGAAGAGGAAAAAAAAACAACAAAACAACCTTTTTTTTCCATTAGAGAACAACTGCGATACAGTCATCGCAGTGTTGAACGAAGGAGGCCCTTGTAGCTGTGCTAATGCTAAACAGGGTGACGTTGAGGACGACTGCTTTCTTCTGCATGGACTTCAAGGACCTCGGCATCTCCGATCTTCTCTGCAAATCAATCCAGATAAATAAAACCCACTTTAAATGGGATAATTGTACAAAATTAAATAGATTATTTTTATCAGAGAAATAAAATTTCTTAAGTGTGCATCGTTTACTCACGGGGTCTGTCCTCATTGGATGTCCGGTTCATTTTGTCTAGCTGTGTCTGGCTATGCGTGCAAAACAAAAACTTGTTTCAGACACATAACGTAGATGTTTGAACCCATATTTAGAAAAATAAAATGAGTCACCCTTACCATGTTCTCGTTGGTTGCCTCCATGGTTGATCCAGCGGAGGAGAAGACCCTTCATGAAAGGCCTGAAGATGGACGTTGGGCTGGTTACGACCAGTGAGGTCAACACCATCCACAGCATGTTTGATCATCCCCATCACCAGATCCTTCTCTGTGGAGTGCAACGTGACTGAGAAGAGTATGGCAGTTTTTATCATTGGGCAACCTAGCAACTGCATCACAGACGTGACTAATAACAGATTTTGCAGCAACTTTAGTGCAAATTGATATGACAGCAAGGAAAATCAATAACTGTATTTCTAAAACCCAGAGGATATAATAAATGTTATCTACTTGTAAATCAAATGTAAAGTCATTTGGATATAACACCTATAATTAACCTGATGAAAGTGATTCTTTTCTGTGGCCTGTTCTACATCTCGTGATGAGGTCTCGTCAAGGCAACAGGAGAAATAGGAGAAAATCTGTCAAGAAATTTTCTTTGCATATTTACTCCTGAAAACAAATTAAAAGCAAATACAAATAAATCCTAACTTTTAATTTGTCTTGAAAAGACGTACTAATGAGGCAACTTTATAAAATAAAGCAACAATATCCAGAAACTGTTAAGGTGACCATCTAGACTAACAATACAGCCAGAGAAAAACAGTTATAAAGTATAGATTCATTTCCAGGGGTATCTTACCACGTTGACCTGCGAGCAGGAGCCACTGCTGGACTGTGGACAGGGAATCTGTCTGTAGAATCTGACAAAGCAGCTCCAAAACCTGACAAGAGACCAGTGGACCATCACATTATCACAACATCAGCATAGAAATGTGGAACCATGTATTTCCTATCTGAGGTTTTCCACAAGGCACAGGCTGTAGCAAAGGACTCTGGGATAATTGAGTGTAATGTCTTTGGAAAAGTGGCCCCTGAATGTTTCTGTGATTACTCTAATGTGCTTTCAAAACAGGTAGATAGATAGACATACTTTACTGATCCCAGGCTGGGAAAATTTGTTTGTTTTAGATAGATAGATCTAATTGTTCATGACTGGAGACACAGAAGAAAAGGGACTCATTTTCTTACCATGAGTTCTTGATCGTGGAAGGGCTGGGGATAAATCAGGTGCTGAGGTCTCCACTGGTAAGACTTTGTGGGAGGTGGGATGATTCTTCCAGTTTTAGCTGAATATTGTGTTTTTCTTCTGATCAATTCTTCTTCTGGCTGCACCTATAGGAGACATTTAGTCATGAACCGAAGCTGTTTATCTGAGAAAACACTGAAAAGTGCAGTGTATGTGTATGATTTTTAGATGGAAGGAAAGTGGAACCTCACACAGTATTAGAATTCACTGAAGTCCTGAATATCTTTTAAATTTGTCATCACTTTTTTTTCTAACGTAATTTAAAGCCAGAATTTTAAGGTCTAATCAAAATAACTGATTTAATCAATAACTAATATTTAAAAGACAACACTAAAGTAAGGCTCTGCCCAGCAAAAGATACACATACTGCACATAACAAAGATTTAGTTTTGCTTTTTATGTTACTTGAGTTAGTGAATAACTAAGTCACCTACCTAAGAAACTGTCCCAATCCCAGCCTGTGGTTCTTCACCCCCTCAATATGCAAACTTCAATGTCCAGTAGGATGTGTAATACATACATTAAGACCTGAATTTTAGTTGAAAAGTAATGTTTTTTAATGACCACCTCTCTTTTGTCCTTGTTTGCCTGAGACAACGATTTGACTTTTGTAGCCAGTTCCTTAAGTTCCTCCCTCCAGGCCTCTGAAAAAAGAGCTTAAAAAGGGAGAAAATATTACAAAAACATTCTGGTGAGTTGGTTATTATGAACTGAGTTATTAATATGAATTATTCAAAAAATGTCCAGTGATCATAATTATAGTTGTATCGTGGCCAAACCTGATTTTTTTGTACCACCAACTTCGTTGAGACTTTGAGCAGCGGGGAAAGGGAACAAGGGGTCAGTTGCTCTCCTAAAGGCATGGCTCTTGAGCAGCGGGTGAGGAAATAATGATGAGGTGACAAACCAGTCATCCTTCACTGTGCAGACAGGTCTTCCATTGAGGCCTAGAATATTAGAGAAAAACACAGAACATTTCAAGAGGGAGTCAAAAATGAATAGAATGGAACTGGAGTCCTTGCAAGTTTACAACAAAAGGCATAGATGGATAGAAAGAGATGGAGGGTTTGGTGTATGGATGGATGGTCTTTAAAAGGAAAGATGGATAGATTGGTGTTAACATTGATGCATCTACTCTGGGTCCAATGCAGGGGAGAGGTCAATAGAGTTTAATAACCCTGCTGTAGCAGAATTAGAGCAGAAAGGCCGATTAAGTGTGTGCTCTTAGTGCTCTGTAGTGTCGGAGTGATCATTAGGTGACCAATGGAAAATGACCCAGTTTTTTTGTCTGAAAGTTATTATTTTATTCACTGCAATAAATGTATTTTTGTTTGTCTTTACTGCAGTGAAAGGCAGAAAGATTAAATACCCTCCCACTACTACAACTAGATCAAAAGAGCCTTAGAACTGTTGAAAGCAGGTGTTGTGTGTCCTTTTCAATTTCTACAAGCATATAAGCATTGTGTTTAACTAAACACGTCCAGGTCTAACACCGAGTATGTATATTCTGAGTGAAATAAAAGTAAGAACTAGGGACATGTTTGGTGGCTTATGTTTATACAAGTATGTATGCATCATATATATATGTGTGTGTGTTTGTGTGTGTGTGTGTGTAGGCTTCTCACCTTGAATATGCCTCACCCTGTGAGGATGGGGATTGTGCCGAGAGAAAAACGAGTGATGACTCAAGGTCCCAAAACGTGCGCTGCTTTTTGTCAGATTCCTCAGCTCAGCGGTGAATGGAACCTGAATGCTTTGAGAGTGAGTTCTTGCTCCTGACGTTGTCCGAGAGTTAGGGCTCTGCATATTTAATTCGTCTAAAGAAATGACAGACATATTTTAAGAAAGGAGACAGTGAAAACAAATGTTGTGTTTTTTACAACTAAACCATAGGAGGAACAGTCACAGTGCACTCAATCTAACCATCCAAGTTTCCACTCAAATAAATGCATCAGGTTCTAAGTAGTTTGTAAGAAATTTACAAGAAAAATACAAGTGGAAAGCACAACTCTACCTCTGAAAACTGCTTCCCTCTGAAAGCCTTGGGCACATCATGCATTGTGTTGCCTCCGTTGCCAAGAAACATTGAGTACACAAAAAACAAACAAACAATGGCATTCGCCCACAAGTGGAAGGGGTTAGGGAATGTTCCACTTGAACAACATCATGTTCTCTAACTGACAGAACAAGGTGAACAGAACAATAGCATGTTGTTTAAAAAGCAGGTTGACCAGCAGGAGGATGGTATTAACATTGACTCATTTACAGTTAGTAGTAGGTTAGTAGGCATCTGTCACTGTGCTCAACACCCTGCTCCGTCTGCTGTGTGTACAGATGGTAATGTTGTTAAAAAGATGAGTCCAGGTCCAGGACTGCTGCTGCTACTACTACAATAACAACAGTAGTACTGCTGCAACTACCACTACTACTATTACTATGGCTAAGACTACTACAGTACTACTGCATCAACTTCCTAAACTTCAACTATGAATCTAACTACTACTACTATTACTAAGATGGCTACTACTTAAAATAATAATACTAATAATATTATTAATAATAATAGCAATAGTCACCAAGTGAACGGGAGCAGTTGGCCTTGGAGTTGAGCAACCTCACAATATGTATCTGCTCCTGTGGCTGCAGTGATACATTTGAGTAGACATTTAGTAAACTGGATTCTGTGGCCTTCAACTTCAATTTCTGTTCTGCAAATTTCTGAAATTTCTGCATCTGTAACTTTATATTAAATTGATGTCTGGGTTGTGTTAAATATTGTATTACCTTTAACAGCTCAGAATACTATGAGATTATATTCCTTTGAGGATACATACCAGCTCCTTCACTCCACCACGGCTGCAGTAGAACAACTTTGAAGGCAGACTAACTGCAGAGTAAAAGTGACAGCACTTGTCGAGCAGCTGTCACAGTTAATTCTAGGATGTCAAATCTCCATGCGGGATATAATCAAATACCCCAAAGCGGGAAAGAAGATCAAAATACTGGCACACTCCGTCCAGGTGACGCATCCTTTAAGACTCAATGTGAAATGTAAATGGAAGGTGCTAAAAAAGTCGACTTTTCATTCCACGCATTTAATATCACAGTAAAGTAGGAAGCGATAACAAAATAATAATACTAATAATAATTTAAAAAAAAAACGCCGTCTTCCGGTGAAAGAGTTTAAACAAAGGCGTGGGGTCGCTGCTTCAATAATAAACATACCTGTTTTCAATCAGATCCTGGCTGGGCGCTTACTGATGACGTCACAACCTACGCTCCATTATAATTTAAATAAAATATTAATAATAAAAATACAATGAAATAGTAACAATGCATTAATCTTACTGAACGCTTAAACGTATTCTGGATAGTGATAGTTTCAATTATTTAAAATACTTCCAGGTCGCGACACATTTATAGTGGCAGTGTTTTTACTTTCAGGTCATATTGTCCTTGTGTCACGTCACATTTGTCCTTATGTAAAGTTTTATATAATATAGTATTTGTTTAATTATCCAAAACAAATCGTGCATACAAATTTTCTGTCTGTATTTGAGTGTTATATATTTTTGATTCCATTTTCACAATTACACAATCTGAATTTTTCATTTTACAATTTTGTTTTAGCAATAAAAAGGGATTAAAATAACTAACTCTTAAACACACTTACACACAATTAGTTTTTCATCATGTTTGTTATACTGTACTGCATTCCAAATATAAAGTTTGTCTTTAGGGCTGAAAATGAATACTGAACAAACTTCTCAAACTGTGAATTATGATAGAAATATCTACTGCAGAATCTTAACCTTACCACAGTAAGGTTACACACTGAGGATTTCAAAGATGGAAATTATTAGAGCGCTTCACATTCAGCTTCAGTGCGTCATGTAAATTATTAGACATTATGCTACCCTGAAGTTAAAAAACACAGCTGTATACGATATTAACACACAAGAGCTTTTAAAAATACAAAGTATTCATCAAATCAAAACGTTTTTCTTGACAACTGACTCTTGACCTAAACCTCTTTATTCAGACAACCTCGATTGGACCATGAAACTTTGTTTCATGGTCCAATCCCATTGGGCACGGGGATTGGGGATGCATGGATTCAACCAAACCATTCATCAACCGCTGAAAAAACACCAGAAAATAAAAACAAACACTCAGTTGTCAACTGAAAGTTGTGATTTGGAATGAATGACACAAAATTGCATATTTATGATCGTGGTTTCTTTGCAGGCTATTTTGAACACAGTGTCAAGGTAGTTTTGTAAATAATCATACAAGGAGGGTTGCAAAGCATGATGGGAGAGGGCAGATATGTGCAGGAGCTTCTTTTTTTTTTTACCATAAGGACATTATCTCAGCACTTATTAATTTGTCTGTTATAGTTCAGACAGACAGACAGACAGACAGACAGATAGACATATAGATAGATAGATCATCACACAGCACATCACATCATCTTAATGAACACATCAAACCCTGTTATGTGAATCGATTCTGATATTGATTCAAACCTGCAGTCTAAAATGGAGGCTCTGTTTCCTCTGCTCTGTAAAGGTCACACTGGAAATATTACATGCTTCTGAGAATTGCTTAATTAGTTCATCACCAAAAATTAAAGTAACTGAAATATATATTGCCTACAAAAGGCCTGTGAGACAAAAGAAATATTTTTTAAAAACAATAATTTATTCATGCCCAGCCATAGTCAAGAGGTCTCAGGAGGATACATCCCAGACAGTTCACCAGACCATGACAGGGCCAGAAGTCAAAATAAATAAATAAAATAAATTCATACTTCCGTTCATATATATGGTCAACATAGAATGACCAATTAACCTCAAATCACTTAAATGAAAAAACAAAAGTGAATCGGTTCATACATGAAGTAAGGATCAGTCTCAACGTCCTCACATTTTGATTTGAATTATACCTGAAACCACTCAGATTTCAACCTGGCATCACTGTCTATAATTTGATGTATACCTGATGATTTGATTAAAAATGAAAAAATAATAAGAAACAGACTAATGGAAATGGAAATGGTGAAATGAGGGTTATGGTAAAATGTAAGAGATAAATGTATTGTCCTGTAAAAGGTGTTAATTATGTGTTAACGAAGTCAACATTCAACGGGTGTTCATTTCCTTCACAGGAGCCAACTGCTGTGAAGAAGTTATAGATCAGTCCCTTCCTGCTCTCTGACTCTCTACCTCTCTCTCTCTTTCTTTCTCTCTCTCTTTCTCTATCTCACACACTCACTCACTCACATACACACTCACCAGCAGCAGCAGCAGCGGCAGCATCAGCAGCAGCAGCCTGTATCTCAGTGAGAGGAGGAGACAGAGCGTGACACCCAGACGCTCTTTTGCTTTCAGCGCTGCTTTTATTTAAGCTATTTTTTTATTATTATTTATTTTGTTGGAGTTGTGTTTTAGATTCTTAATACCAGGATGTCATCATCAGCTTCTTCTGGACAGGAGCCCCCTAAGATAACTCCCGAAGTACTGCAGGAATTACTCCAGTACTACAACCTGAGTCGGCAGGAGTTCATCAATACTTACAACATCCAGCCTCTGGTCTACATCCCGGAGTTACCCTACAGCGCCAAGACCACCTTCGTGGTCATGTACGTGGTCATCTTCGTCCTGGCTCTAGCTGGAAATAGTTTGGTCATCTACATTATTGTGAAGAAGAGAGCGATACAGACGGCCACGGATATTTTCATCTGCTCTCTGGCGGTCAGCGACCTGCTCATCACTTTCTTCTGCATCCCATTCACTTTGCTTCAGAACATCTCCTCTGAGTGGTTCGGCGGTGAGTTCGTCTCCTCCAAACCACCGCGTGTCCTACCGCCACAAAAAAAAAAGAAAAGAAAAGAAAAGATGAAACTAGATTAAGCTTAATTAATAAATACAGATTCAAGTTTCCGTTAAAAATATTCAAAAATTAGAAATATTAATATATAATACATTTATGCAACAACTCCATTCACGCAAAGAAGTACAATATTTGGAACAATTTAAACTAAAATGACAAGAGATGTAAACAACTGCTACATTTTTATCTGATCATTATATTATTATTATCTTAATCATTCATTCATGTTTTTGAATTCTATCACTTTATGGTATATGTTCTGGGTATCTGGGGGTTGGTGGGTGTGTGGGGGTGGGTCAATCCCATCAGCTATTGGGTGATGGAGGGGTTACAGTAAACTACTGACCTAATCCTGATTTAATTTGGTTTAATTTCAATTTGTCTGGACTCTGGGGCAGAACCAACGGGAATTGAACCTGTGGTTTTCTTGCTGTAAGGCAAGTCCATGTGGTAACTCTCTCTAACAGTTTCTGTTTCTGCCCAAATTTAATCAGAGGAGCTAAAAACACCATAACAACAGGAAAAGTATGGACTGTTTTGAGGAGATGATATTCATGTTCTTCATCATCACGTTCTCTCATCATCACTGATTTATTTCAGAGCTGGATTTAACACCGCAATCAACAAGACAACAAAACAATAAACATGCTTTTGTTTCCTAATGCTACGTCGCTCCTGTTCATTAGCTGATCTGAATGAACCCACATCTAAAAGCCTGAGGAGCATTTACATTAGCAGATCTAATTCAATTATATTTGTGCTGCCTTCAAGGAACACCAGGTGTTATGGAATCATGTAGAACTCCTGTCTGCGCCTGTGTTTGTGTGTCATGTGTTTCCAAAATAACTCACCTGACCAGAGTTTGACCTCCTCCTCACACTGATGTGACATTTGGCAGCATGTGTCTGTTTTTAAAGGCACGGTGTCCAAACCCTGGAATGATAGAAATAGAGCAAACAGAGTTGGCGCTATATACGCCTGCTGACTTTGTCAATAAAATGTCTTTTTGTTTGGTACTGATTGAAAATCTGAAGTTTGGACTTTTGACTGTTCCTCCTTTAGGTGTGCTGTACAGACAGACAGCCTGTCTGTCTGTTTCCTCTGACCTCTTCAGAAATAACCCACAACTGCTAATTAATCCAGGGTGTTGATTAAGAGCACCAGACACAAATATTTGAAAATCATATAATTATCAGCTGTCGTCCCTGTTCTGCTGACTAATGACAGAAAAAGCTGGCACGTACATTAGAGCGCTGCATTCAGAGTGTATCGCAGCAGTGACAGGCAGCCAGCAAGCATGTGCCTCCATTAAGAATCCATGCTAATTAGATCAGGTCAGGCATGCCGCTTCAGTCGTGCTTAATTAGTCACGTATGTGCAATGGCGGGGTCCGTGGGTAATCACGGCTGGTCCTGTTATGGTACATATTTACATATATTTATATGATGTTATTTTTGGATTTCTGATTGACCCTAATGTCTTTGATGTGTTCGCTGCAGGGGTCTTGGTGTGTAAGACCGTTCCCTTTGTACAGACCACAGCCATAGTGACAGGCATCCTCACCATGACATGCATTGCCATTGAGAGATACCAGGGTATTGTTTTTCCCCTGAAAATGAGGAGGCAGTACTCATCCAGAAGAGCGTACAAGATGCTAGGTAGTATGTTGACATGTCTACACAGGTTCTCATTATGCATCTGCACAAAGGTTTTGCTCACAGGCAACTGGAATCCTCCATTAACATGTAATCTGTATTATCTGCCTCTTCTCCTGCAGGGCTGGTATGGATTGCTTCAGTAATAGTGGGATCACCAATGCTGTTTGTGCAACAGTTAGAGGTATTTAATGTATTTCTGGTGCTAGGTACTTGACGACAGGTAAACCAAATGTTAATTTGGTGATTTTCTTCCTGCCATTTTCAGGTGAAGTACGATTTCCTGTACGATCACCACCACGTGTGCTGTCAGGAGAGTTGGCACTCTCTGACCCACAGGCAGGTGTACTCCACCTTCATCATGGTGGCTCTGTTTGTGCTGCCTTTGGCTGCCATGTTGTTTCTGTACACACGGATAGGCATCGAACTGTGGATACGCAACAGGGTGGGCGACTCGTCCGTGCTCAACACCATGAACCACAGGGAGATCAATAAGATCTCCAGGTAAGAATCTCAGACAGCTCATGACCCCCATGGTTGTACTATGACACTGAAGACTATCTTCATGGGGGTTTTGATGGACATGCAAGAAAAAGTTCTCCTCCTGCTTCCCGTGTTGATAACCAGAATAACCAGCAGGAGTTCCATACAAATATATATTTTCACTATAATACCGTGTGGCTTGAATATTGTATCATTGTGTAATTTGAATACTTCAGAAATGAACCTATAGAGCAAGGCTCATAAATTTAAATTAGCTAAAGAGCACTTATTTTAATAGAGGGAGACATCAGTGTTCAATGTTCAATACAAATAACACCCAGATATTTAAAAAAATGTATTTTTGTTTAATAGATGTAACAGGTACTGACTTGTTACATAGTGTAACAAGTCAGTTACAATATTGTAACAATATTGTAACTCATATTGTAAGTCAGTACATCCGCAGTAACAATGACTGTTAAGACAGCAATGAGACAACAATGACACCTGTCTTCTATGTTGTACTTCTACTACAGGAAGAAAAAAAGAGCCGTGAAGATGATGATCACTATTGTCCTGTTGTTCACCGTGTGCTGGGCACCATTTCACACAGTCCACATGTTGTTTGAGTACTGTGAGTATTGTAATTAAGTGTAAAATGTAAAAAAAAAAAAACACGACAGAGGGGGTCCTCGACTTAAATCAGTGCAACGTAACTTGTTTTTCGCAATAAGTTGCAGCTTACAAACTGTGCACAAGTACTTATGTCACTTACCTGCACTAACACAGTGGTAACATCATGATCTAGGACACAAAAACATCAGACGTGAGTCCTAACAATGCCTGGGAGCCATAATAAAGGGTAAAAAGTTCCAAAAAAAAAAAAAAAAAGAAATGAAAGAAAGCCAATTTAACACAATCTGATGAATGGTGTAAAACTGCCGAATGTAAACAAAGCGCTCTCACATACTGTATATAGCACTGCACGGCGACATACTCATCCACACCGCTCGCTGAAACTAGTTGATGACTTTTAGTGCTGTACTTCAGAGTGATGGAACAAGACTTTATTCACAAATTTATGAGCGATAGTGACGTAACAACAAAACCCTATAGGTTGTATATCGAGGACACCCTGTATGCATATTTGAAAAACCTTGTGTTAATGTTTTACATTAAGTTACAAAGTCTGTTTGTGGTTCTAAAGATGACCTGGAGAACAAGTACGACGGCGTCACGGTCAACATGATCATCGCTGTCGTCCAGGCCATCGGCTTCTTCAACAGCTTCAACAACCCCATCGTGTACGCCTTCATGAACGAGAATTTCAAGAAGAGCTGCGTGGCCACGCTCTCTCAGTGCATCAGAAAACCCAACCAGCAAAGACGTGCCGTGGTGGCGCCCAAACTCAGTGTGCAGTACATCAAACCCCAAAGCAGGGAGGCCTTCGTGGGGTCAGACGATTCGGACAGCTCCAAGCAGCGTTCAGCCGACAAAGAGGCTGCGGACGCACTGCACAGAGAGAGCACTCTGGAAATGATTGGAGAAAAAGTCTCCACGCTCCACACAGACCTGCCTGCCACCTGCTCGCAGGTCAAATGAGGAGAATGTGATTTCTCTGTGAAACACTATTTTAAACTTCAATAACGGAAAAGACAGAAGGGGCCTCAAGTTTGACTTAGCTCATCTTTGTGGTTCTTTAAAAAAAACACACACACAAAATACAGTTGCTTGTATCATCGCAATCCCCCTGATGTGAATCTTTTGGCAGGAGGTCTCATAAGGAACTCCTCAAAAAAGGCAGTTTTGTTTGTGGTCGCTGGAACGCTAGTCAGACTTAGGAATAGAGGACGTCTACTTCCTGCGGTCTATCCTGCCTCTCAGTGAGTTCTCATTAAGCTGGAGAACACTCTGGACTAATGATCAAAAACTCTGTATCTGCCCAAAATACTGTGAAAAAAACACCCCAATGAGGAAAGTCTGAAAATACAGAGCCATATTTTGAACACCTAACCTCATTTTAGTGATCGAAAATTATTATATATTAGTATACATTTTTATAAAACAATGTGGCTCGTGACAATGTGAGCTCGCCTTGGTCTCAGATGTGTATCACACTGATGTTCACCCAACAAAGAGTTGAGGTGGAAGTGAAAAAGACAAGTATTGCCTTTTGTCTTTTTACTAACAGTCGTTCAGGTGAATTGCCAAATTAAAGCTTTACGTTTTTGTGTATTTCATAAAGTCCTACTGTAAACACCTTTTTTAAGCTCGTTTGTAATAAAGGCTCACAGCTATATACATTTACCGCTAAAAGCAGCAGTCCTTGCCTTTTTTGTACTGTCCGCAGCACTGGCCGACATCAGCAGACTGGTAGTGCAGCACCAGTTGTGTTCAGACATTATTCTGTTTATATGAGAATCTGAAAGACATTATTTTGAACTAAAAATGTGTTTATCTTTAACTGAAGAAAATAAATGAAGTAAAGGTTTATTTTTTTCCCCCTGTGGCCCAATACCAAAAGACTGTTGAACCAGAGGTTGAGGACCCATGATTTAAAGCATGGAGAAAGCAAGAATCAGCTGTATTTTATTTGAAGCACGACTAAGACCAGTTTACTAAGTTGACAAGTTTTTCTTTTAATTTCAAAGGTGAGGCCTATGAACTTTTTTTTTTTACAAATGTCGGTTCTCTCAAATCGTCAATTGATGAGAAGATGAATTACCTCTATTTTTTACAAATGACAACCTGTAAACCTGACACGTCATCCTGACGTTTTAGCAATGCTTCTTTGTATCGTTGTGGATCATTTTGTACTGTTCACGTCATAACGCAGCTTGAATGTGTTCGCAATGCACAGAAAAATAAAGACTATTTTCTCTGTCCTTTATTCACATCGTATACTGCTAAGTCACCTGGCTGGGGCTGACACACACACAAAATCATTTTGGACCACGTGGTCAGGAGACATTTACATGACAGTATTTGATCTTGTATAAAAGATAAAAATGTGTTTTCACAGTTAGCTTTGAAAATTGAAACCTTGATCCTAAATGAATTCATAACTGTCCTCATGTTTCATCATTTGAATTCCCAAAAGTAAATCAGATGGAAATAATAATGGCTGCCTATGAATCTGTTCTCCAAGAGAGACAAAAATTGAACTGATCTGTATAACTACTTTTTTTTTTAACCTAAATTAAAAAGCCTTACAATCCTCCTTTGCTTTGTTGGAGAAATGACAAAGGACAGTCTGTGACTGCAATAAATAAAAAGAAAAAACAAAAACCACGCTCCATTATTGTGAAGCCACAATTTCTGACACTTATGATCCGACGACAACGTCTGCAGGCACTGAACAGAAATAGGAAGCACTTCAAACGTTCCCTGATGTTTCCCGGCTCAGTGCTACGTGAGCAGAGGGATGTGGAAGTCTGCGTTGTCAAAGAGGAGGGGTCTTTGAACAGGCACAGGATCTTTGTCGGCCTTGTGTAGTAGTTTAAATAGTCCTGTTCCTATATTCATGGGGATTCCCATGATGATGCACTCGGACACACCTGAAACCAGACATAAAGATGTGAAGGAAAAATAAAATATATATATTTTAAAGATGTATTTTTTAAAAATGGTTTACCGCAGACTGAGTCTTTCTGTCCAAAGTAGGCTGCGTCAAAAAGGTGATCGGCCGTTTTCTCAAAGGACGCCAACATGAGCACGCTCTCCTTCATTTTGGCCAAACCGAACCTGGTGATTCCCAGAATCTCCCCCTTTTAAAGAGAAACAAAAAACATTTATACATATTTATATACAGTGAGTGTCTCTGAGGGAGGAGTAAAAACCTCAGTGACAAGAAGAGACTTCACACCTTGTAGGACATGAGATCTGCCAGAAGCATGACATGACGTCGGTCGATACTCATTCCATGGTTCACCATGGTGTACTGAATCTCATTGATGATTGTGGACCTGGCCGCTTCGATGCCCAGAGTCTTCTCAACCTGGGAATCAGGTGTGGGGGTAAGAACAGACGTGGTCAGTTTTTACATTCACATGGAAATTTCACTATGATTTGACTACAGCAGTGAATATCACAGAGCTGCTAACAAGACCACTTGGATTTGCTTTAATTACTTCATATTTACATTTTCCCATATTAAAAATTCCATCATTTGGATTAGTCACAATAAAACAGGTGTGAAACAATGTGAATAATCATAATTAAAAGTGATTAATAACAATTACAATTAATCGTGGTTTATCGTGATTATTTCACAGATGTGGTGCCACTTCAGAAGCCGAGAGCGGAGAATCCCAGAGGAACTACATGCTTGATAATGTTAATCCTCCTCTGTAAGTCGCGCTGAAGTGTCTGCTAAATGCGTGAATGTAAATGTACTCTGCTACTCCCTCTCTCTGTCTCTCCCTCCATTTCTAAGTTCAAACAAAGTGACACGTGGAAGACACACTGACATTTACACAATGCAAAGCCACCAACAGCTGGTGCACAGATGGCACCCACTGGAGACAGCAGTGTGAACAGCACACCTGAGACACTGTAGAAGAAAAGCAGCGACGGCAAAGCTGGCGACAGTGAGGAGAGAGGGTCGGAATCAGAGCGAGGGAAGAAATGTTCTGCAACGTGTGTGTAACAGCTGAGGACAGAGGTTGTAAGTATGGCATCATGTGGTCATTTTACAGCAATAAAACAATCATAGCGCTTGTTCTGCTAACTTCCACTGAGTTCTCTTTTTACTGAGCTGAGGTGTGTTTACCGAAACAATCCCCCCTATTTCCCCGGATACAGCAAACAATTACAGAGAACAGTCGACTACAGAGACTACAGTATAGGTTCTAATAGAGTCCACACTGGCTTTAATATTCCTTGACGAATACCTCGTATGTGTTGTTTGAAGTAGTCCTGCTCCCATTCACTCCGTGGGTTGCCATGACAGCCCTCAGGTTGTCTCCCTCCACCAGGAGTTTGTACTTGTTCTTGCCGCTCTGTTCATCAATATGAATGACGGCTCGGGCAACCTCTGGGATTCCTTGAACCACCACCTGCCGGTGGACAATAACCAGCAATTAGAGTTTGTTGGACAAAAAGCTTAAAATCTTTACGGATTATATTAACTGCAGTTTGGAAAGCTCTTAATTAAGGTCATCTTTCTTTGAGTTGTTCAAAGAAAAGCAAGGATTTAAAGCTAATCGTTGGCGGGTTCTTTCCAGCAGGAGAGAGAAATACACTGTAGGAGCTCTGGGTCACAAGCTGAGACGTATGTATTAAGTAATTTGAAAATCTTCTACATATTCTTGTGCCCTATTATGAGCTAACAAAGGAACTATTTGCTGTAATAATATTGGATTTGATACATCATTACAAATATTTCTGCACACAACAGCTAGTTTGTAGACAGCTTTGTAAACTGATCATATCAAATACAAGATACTAGAAAATACTTAAAATGTATGGTATAACAACCAGATGCTGTATAATTTGCATTAGTATTAAAAAAAAAAAAAAAAATGTAATGGAAATGGCAGCTCTGTGGCACATACAGTGCTGATATAAAGTATGTCAACAGCAGGCTACCCAGAGCTAACAAGAGCCCATTACTACCCCAGCCATTATACACATGCACACTGACACACTTTCATTGTGGCGCAGTCCTTAAGTACTTTGAAAAAGAGCCCAGGTTACTGCTTTTTGTAGCTCGTCTACTATTTCTTTGCTTCTTACTTGTTTTTGTGATGAATTACAACCAGATCCAATTTTATGCATTTGGTTTCCCTCATTTTAAGAACCCGCACTAAACAAATGAAGTGGACCCTCTAGAAACGGACTCTCACCTTGGGAAGCTCCTCTTTTAATGACTGCAGCACATAGTACATGGAGCTTTTGTTGTTCTCCCGAGGGGAAACGCACACCACTGCCTCACCATGAACGGCAATATCTCCTGGTTTCACTCGCAGCTTAGACATGCAGATGGAGTAACGCACAGTCTCTGCATTGACCTGGAAATGACAAAAAAAAAAAAGAGAGAAGTTACAGGGAAGGCACTTAACGTGGTTTTTACTTAATAACATCTGCAATTAATGTAATACTTCAAAATCCTGAGGAGATAAATGTAAAGTCAGGGCATTACTTTCACTGTATAAATAAAAGTTGTTGTTTTTTTTAATAAAGGTAGATTTTTCTTGGTCTTAGAAAAACAATAATCACAGCATGGAAACACTCCATTCCTTAAGGAGGAATTTGTTACCCTGGCAACAAAACAACATGGATCAGTGTCCAACTGAGATTTCTTCACTTACTCTCCTCTGCACAAAAATTGCTATTATTACAGTTCTTTCCTGCTCTATATGTTCTCTTAAACCATCAAATCAGTGGAAGAGAAGCTGTCAGAAAATCCTAATTTTTTTGTGATAAAGGCAAAGAGCCTGTGTTGTCAGGGACACAAAAACCTACTTTAGAATACAAAAACATTAAGACTGATTCCTTTTAACTGCTAACAAGAAAGAAATATGTGACCTTACAAGGTGAACTCAGACATCATGAAATCACCATGTAAAAAATATGCAGGATGCAACAGAGTACTTTAATTTCACACAGCGTTTGCACCTTTGCTTCTTTCTAAAATAAAAACATGATCATACCTATTTTTATTTGCAACACAAATCAAACATGATAAAAAAATGTCTCTGGGGTCGAGAGAATTTTGTGATGCCCAAATGTGGTCACAAGCCAAAAAAGTTTGGGAACCACTGTGTAACTATTTGTGAACTGTTTCTACAACAATTATTGTACTTTAACAGTGACTTCAAATACATGGTTGAAAGGGAGACTTAACAAAAAGCATGTCAGGCACAGTGGTTTAAACCAGAATACAAAACATGTTCAGAAGGGAAAAGGACATTTCAAAGTACCTCTAGTCTCAGCAGCCGTATCCTCTCCAGTGATAATTTAACCAGGATAAAACAGTCGTCGGGAAGGAAAACCTCTTCAATATACTCAGAAATCTGTGGACAAGAGCACATATTTTTCAATACAATTGTGGATGTCAACTGGTGCTACCTTCTAAAAAATGTTGTTTAGTGCAAACATTGACTGTCCAATTAACACAGTGCTGAAATAAAAGTAAAAAAAACAAACAATGAGAACACATCACATCGCAATGGGAGGAAAAAGTAAGAAGAAGAGAAGAATCAGGCAAGGCCATTCTTTTTTAGCATTTTTAGCACACATACCTCTCCGAGAAGTGTTTTCTCAATTCTCCCTTTCACCAATCTGGCAAAATCAGCATCGTCTTCCACGTCCAGATGTGCGGTGATTATGGGTGTGCTGAGTAAATGGTAAAGTTGTAACATCATTATATCTCTGGTGTATTTCAAAAGCTTTAGAATTTTTGGTAGCAGGTTAATGTAACAAATCTCTGTATCCTATGTAACAGTACTTTGCTAACAAAATATATTAAGTAAGTAGGTAAAAATAAGTCTTGAAACTTCTGTGAGCACAGAGGTAAAAAAACAACTGTTAACCAGTTAGCTTTGTGCCGCAGTCGCACACCGTACCTAATGTTCTTGGAAGCATTAATGATCTCTTTGATACGAGGCACCCCCAATGTGATATTCATGGACGCCACGCCGGCAAAGTGAAAGGTTTTCAGGGTCATCTGTGTACCGGGCTCTCCAATGCTCTGAGCACACAGGGCACCAACTGCCGAGCCAGGCTCCATCTGTGCTCTACGTGGGAAAGAAAGTCATGACAAGCACCGCCAGACAGAATTAGCTCTGATAATCTGAAAAACTTGTATGAGGAGGAAGAAAAGGTCCTAAGACAGAGGTAAAACATTCTGATTTTAAATACAAAATCCTAATCCTTATATCTAAAAAACTGCGACATTAAACTGAGAAGAGATATTTGCGTTTTAGCAATACGGGGTGTCTTCAGGTGCTTTATCTAATTCAGAGCTGTCCAAGTAGATCAGAATCTAAAAGCAGATCGTAAAGTGAGTGCAGATCAGGTAGATCCTGAGAAATTCAAAAAAATATAAAATCAATTCAAAAGTGTGTAGTACTGACCATCAACTGTAATAATTCAATCATATTGTATCATATACGTACAGTATATGTGTTTGTTTTCTTTTATGCTCTGATTGCACAGAAAAAAAGAAAAAAAGGAATTAGCCTCAAAAAGAAAAGTAGCAAATAGTTTGTGTACCTCATGTACTTGTCTCTGCAAGTTTCAAGGAACTTTTCAAGCTGAGTGGGAGTAATACGATCCAGCTGATAGAGAACCTTTGGCTGGAAAATAAGATAAATGGAGACAGAAAAATATATTCACTGCAAAAATATACTTTCAATTGAAGACATTCATTGAGGATTTCTACCTCACTGGTGCCATTGTCATTGATTCCGTATTTGTCTCTGGTCTTCTTGATCCTTTCTGAGATGCTCCTGATGAATTTCCTAATCTCCTGCATGTACAAACATTATCATAAATTACTAAAAATAAATTATCCAGAGCATTTTTACATTTATATCCTAAATGAAAAACAATAGAAAACTCCATCAAACATAATATGGAGAGAAAACACATTGCCATGCAGTTGTAAGGAACACCAAAAACCCACCTAGTGTTGTATGCTTAAAGTCCAAGCACACTGACTAAGACAGGGGGATTATTAAATAAATGATCAATCTGTCACACATCCTAGTGTCACGCCATTCTCTGCTGTGTTTAAGCACACCGGGCATGCTCAAGCACAATACCTCCAGGTACTTCTCTGAGCCTGTTTCAGTTAACTCCTTCACGAGAGGGAAGAAAACCAAAACACAGGTATCACCTGGCTGCAGCTGGTTTGAACCTGACGACAGCACATGAGTTTTCTCTGGGTACATGCAGATCGGATAATATGTATTTAACCTAAAGGTAGAAACATGAGTGGGATTTGTTGTGTCTCTATTAAGTGAAGCTTCACTAATAATTGGGCCTACGACCCCGGAAGATGGGCAAGGGTCACCAAACTGTTTCACTGTTTTGTTGCCGAGTGTCACTGCTCAACTTAAAGTATAGGTATCATAATATAGACATGGACATATAGACAAGTATGCTTAATATATATATATATACGTATATATATATATACACACATATATATATATATATATATATGTGTGTATATATATATATATATATACGTGTGTGTATATATATATATATATATGTATATATATATATATATATATATATATATATACACACACATATATATATATATATATATATGCTAAATCCCGTCATAATCAAATGTTTTCAACTTTTTTCTGCTATTTTGTCGTTGTCAGTATTGAACATGACACAAATGAATATAAGGAGAGGAAAATGACATGAGAAAAGAAGACCTTTCTCCAGAGCATTGAGGAAATTCAGGGGACCTTTAACTGTGCATGACATTTGAGAACAATGACGGAACAAGTAGAAAGAGGTTACCTCTAAAAACGTTTCTCTGCAGCACAAAAAGTCTTGCCTCTTCATTACAGCATCTGCAGTGAGAACCAGCTCATTCTGACTGAGCGCAGGCTCATCTGGACACGAATAGACAGCCTGAGGACAGAAACATAGAGAAGGATCAATGGGAGATGATGGGAAAACAATGAGACAGCAGTACTTGCCCTTGGGTCAACACATCCTTGGATGTGAGGAGCCTCTTACTCGTACTTCAGCTTTACAATTTATATTTTTTATTATTAATTATGCAAACATTTTTAAACAAAATACTGGATAATAAAAGAGTATTTTAAAGTATAACCTGTTCTAAACAGTAGGGTTTTTTTTTGGAGGTCTCACCTCTCCATAGACTATCTAACACTTATTATCTATTGAATTATTAGTAGCCTTCTATAGACAGAGTAGTGCCTCCAATCAACATCAACGAAGATGAAATACATCTCCAAGACTGAGCACATCGAAAATGAAAGTAGACAATCAATCAGTGAAAACTGACTGCAGTAAGAAAGAGATGATGGTAATGTTCCCAGGTGTTGGTGCAGGATTATTGTGTGCATAAAAAAATCTATATGTGTGATCTCACCCTGATGTTGTCTAGCACTCTTTTAAACTCCAGTGGCTCGTCCTTTCCCTCCATTGCGGCCGGGTCCAGACCATCACCGCCATAAATGAACTGGATGATGTCACCGGTGGAGCTGCGCACCGTCAGGTCGTACTGCGAGCACAGATCTTCCAGAGACTTTACAAGTCGCCTCTGCCCAAGTGGAGAGAGGTATGGAGAAAAGATGTGATAAAGTAATGTGAAATTTCCAAAAGTGCAATCAGAGCTTTTCAACATAGTTTCACTTTATAAAGCAAAAAACAAAACAAAAACATATCGGACGTCAGGAAATTGTCCAAGGTATGAGAAAAAAAATAAATGAACATCACAGTGGCTTATATTCATATTCAGCCTAGCAATAGGGCATTACGATAATAGTATAGCTCCTGAGTCCGCAGTTTCTATTCCTAATAATACGAAACATAATCAGTTCCTAGAACTTTTAATAGCGAAGTCTTGCAGAAATCTGTAGTGATGCCCCCTCTTGTACTGAGCCGTAGGGCATTTACCACAGCTTTACCTGCATATATCCAGTCTCTGCAGTTTTCACAGCAGTGTCCACCAAACCCTCTCGACCAGCCATGGTATGAAAGAAAAACTCAGTTGGAGTCAGGCCTGAATAAAAACTGTCAGCCACAAACCCTTTAGCTGCAGGCAGCTGGAAAGCAAAGAAAAAAAAACTCAAGCAACTTGTTGTTTTTTTAGTAGGATGATGCAAACACAACAGCAAGAAATGTGTTGTTTTTTTAGTAGGATGATGCAAATACAGCAGCAAGAAATGCAGACTTTTGCCACTAAGCTACTGACAAGTCTGGAATCAGTCCCACAACTCTATGGTTGTGAGGCAACTGCACTTGACTGAGTCACAGCAAAGGAGTTTGTTTAGTAACTGGATTTATAGTACATTAAAATGAAAATCTAAATAATTATATGAACACAGGAGAAAAAGAAAAAAGACTTACTTTTGAGTGTTTCTCAAAATGAGGCAGGGAACGATTTTCAAATCCATCTGGAACTCGAGAGCCACTTATGGCCTGCTGACCTACACAGGCAATCATCTGAGAGATGTTAATGAAGGACCCTGAGAAGCGACAAAAGAAAATCATCACACTGATTATTAGAGTGAGAAGGATTTATAGAGGTTTTATTTACAAACAGAAATGTACCTCGTACCAAAACAAAGAGAAATCAGTGAAATTATGAGTACCACTGTGCTATTTTCTAATGGAAGCTAATTTTCTTAAATATTCTTTCTCAAGAATTAATATTAGCTTGGAATCTGAAGAAAACCCACACCTTTTAAATCTGACAAATTCCATGAATCATTTTATTTTCAAATGACTTCTGTGTTTGGCTCTTCTCTTTTTCCACCGTGACTACAAAACATTTTATCACATTGATTTTAATTCCCACCTACCTCGGGATGCAGCACAACCAGGCGAACACATCATACAAAACCCCAGATAAAACAGAGATGCTCAGTTAAATCCCATTCTTTAGGATTTTTCAAAACATCCCTGCTGTGGTGTTTTTTAAATTTCATCTCCACATGGACAGGAAATATGTACGTATGTAGAATCTTAGTCACTTTTCTAAACCTGAAAAATGATGTCACGATAATATGCCACAACACTTGATCTAAAAGTTATACTGTCTATCCCCAGATTACAGCAGGGACTGGTTGGGAAAATAATAGTCAAAGGCTGGGATTTGTTGACTGACTGCTGTGTCGTCTCCAGCTGCTTTACCTTTGGACCCACAAAGAGCCATAATCAAAGGGCTGTTGCTCTTATCCAGCTCCCTGAGGCAGGCGCTGCCAGCTCTGTCTCTGATGACAGACAGTTCCCTTAAAATGAGAGCCTATGGACAGACACACCGAGAAAAACAAAAAGTTTTTATTATAATTTGCAAACTGACCATATCCAAGACTGTGATGAACTGATTAAAGTGATTGATGAATTGTTTGTTTTCTTGACAGAACATTGTACTGCTGCTTATTTTCAGTGAATAGTCTTGCCTAAAAGATGTATTATAAAAATATATAAATGATTTGTTGTAACACACCCACTCACTTCCAGACACACTCGACGTGTTGAGATCAGGGATCCTGGGATTTAAACTAGTGGTTCTTAATTATTTTCTGTCATGGCCATCCTTGGGGACAGAAATGTTTTCAAGGATTTTACTTTTTTAAGGTGGGATTGAATTAACATGCAATGGACCAGAAAGCAGCGTTTTACAGGTGATATACAGTATCTCGCTATGCTTCACTTTGTCTTCTTGACAAACACTATTGTGCTGTTTTCTAACTTAGGAGCAGTCATGATTTTTTTTCTACAACTCAATAGTTAATCTTCAGACTTATTCATCAAAAGCACCAGCTGTCATCTTTCTACAGCCCAGTTCCCATGGTGAGTCACTTGGTTTTGTTTCCATGTTTAGAGGTTTGGCATTTGGGCTGCAATTCCTTTGCGCAGACCAGACTAGCCAGAACTCTCTGGCAGTAGATGGTTGTACTTGGGTCCCAGACTTCTGCCAGTTCTAACACTGACCATTTCTTTTTGCTTCATTAACAGATTTGAAACAGCCCCTGTTAAAAAAAAACAACTCCAGTCTGCTTTTAATTATTTGCCTGGTTGGGACAGTACCACTGCCCTGTGTCTCTTTGCTATGCTACTACAGAGAATGTCCTGCGACAAGACTTTCCTTCCACAGCATCTTTTCTGGTACTACAGTCTGGCTGTTCCTTACAATGTCAGAATCCTTTTTTTTATATTACCGAAAAACCTGCTCTGGGGACGTAGGGCAACGCAATATTGCTCTGGCAAAGCAGGGACTAAGGTTTAAAATAAGGCAACTCATTTCATCTTAATGTTTGGTTTTGGTCAGCAGCACAGCCTTAGGTTGAATATAGTGCAGATCTGTTCTGGGGTTTTTTTTTCCAAATGTCACCTCTCAGAAACAGGTTCGATCTTGTTCTTATAATCACAGCTATCACAATATGGTATGTCAGGCAATGTGTTTTTTTATGTATAGAAGTCACACCTACCTCCAGGGTCTCTTCTGCGGTGCAACCTGGCTGTTGCTGCAACTTGCCTGTTTGTAAAGCTTCGATATACTCATCACATTTCTTGTAACCATCATCCAACAGGTCCTGTTTGGCCTTCAGCAGACCCTGGCCAGGGGTCACATCACCAATACCAATGGAAAAGCCTCGATTGGCTGCCAGAAGAGACGGTGAACAAAAGTATAAAATATATCATTTTTGTTACAATAACATTGGCACAGTAAACATTGGGTTTGATGTCTTTGTCCTTCATGAATAGAGAACAGAATGGTAATTTTTTTATACAAACAATGGACACTTTTCACCATTTCATAAACCTTTTGCTTAAATCTCTTAAGAGATTAAAAAGATTAAATTTTTAGAACAATAAATATTGTTTTTAGCCAGGGATAACTTACAGAGATACACTGGAGCCAGTCTTGCCAGGCGGGACATGGCATTTGCAGCTTCCAGTTGTCCCCAGTCTCTCAGCAGGATGTAAAAAATGTTGTTTTTAGAGCCAGAGCCCAAGGTGCCCTTGTCCATGCTGCCACACATCAGCTCACTGTTGTGGATAACCACGACTGGGAGGATAGAAAGAGAATACAGGAGGATATTGATGACATTTATATTAGGCAAGAAAAAAAAAACCAAAATCAAAGCTAAAGTATACAAAAGAAATAAAAAGAATACTTGCTGTAAGCCATTTTTATAGGTTTCTTTCTGTATCTTTTGTTTTACCTTTCTCGCCTAGGTGCTCTAGATTAGTCTATAGATATATATTTAAAAATATAGCTACTATATAAATTATTATACAAACTTGTGTACACATTTTTTATATTTTGTCTCAAATCTAGATTTTGTCACTTTATATAAGTGCCATAACAAGGTCAACTTTCTTCTGTTTTGCCATGACAACAGACAAGAAGAAAAACGTTAATAAAAATAACTTGACTGATGTTGAAAAAACTTGTTGAAACTCACACGAGTCATTGTGACAGAGATCTTCCCCTTTGCCGCAGTATTGTTTGCCCTTGGTTCGCAGGTTGGCCTTGACTGGACAATCGTCACTTGGCTTCAGAATGAGGCTGAAAATCTGCTTCCCTGTCCACAGAGCCATGGGCTGGTGGACAGACACAAATTATTATCTAGAGGATTGCAGATCCAGAGATGTGCTTGTCAGTCATGCCATGGCAATGTCCTACCTTTATGATGGCAGGGTGAGGGAGAGAGACTCTGACTTTATCATCCTTGCCCACCAGTATTGATGCCACTATCTGACAAGCTTTGGCTCTGTCAAAGAAGGTGTCCTTCAGAGTCAGGAGGTAGGCACCTGTGCAACAAGAAAGCCACCTTTAATTCAGCTGCAACTTATTTCAACAAAAATGTCTGAAGTGTCTGACTTTGGAGCCCATTTCATATGACATTAAAAAAAACAAAAACAAAAAAACATTATGAATCCGTGACACTTTATTTTTGAAGAGCAGTGGACCTGGCTACAACTTGTTACATTACCTGTGAGAAAGTCTTGAATAGCTGCAATCAAAGGTTCCCCATTTCTTGGAGTGACAAGATTAGCTTTTGTCTAAAAGACAAGATAATTGAATTTCTTTGTCAGAGACACATATCCTGTGTTTGGCCTCTTTCCAGCCAGACGCCATCAGTGACAGGTACATGAAAATGGTTATGTTTGTGTCAAACATAGGGATGATTCATACCCCCATCAGGACGAGGGCTTCAGCTTTCGCCTCTTCGGTCTGAGGTAGATGAAGGTTCATTTCATCTCCGTCGAAGTCGGCGTTGTACGGTGTGCACACGCACTCGTTGAACCTAAACGTTCTGTGAGGTTTTACTCTGGCCTATGATTTTGGAAAAAATAAAACATACAAAAAGGAATGTTATATAAAGACTTATTTCATTATAAGAATAAGAATAAAAAATCTTTTTGCAGCTCATAAGGTCAAATTTGAAGTGAATTTCTTTTTATGTGAACATAAATCTGTTACAATAGCTAAACATTTGACTTACTCTGGATAAACTACTCTCAAGGACTTCAAATCTTCTGTTCTGGTTTGTAAAAATATATATATAAAATAAAGGTAGCGGAAAGACAAAACTCACAATGTGGGCCATAATGCTGAGTTTGTGTAGAGAAGGCTGTCGATTAAAGAGGACGATGTCTCCGTCAATGAGGTGCCTTTCGACCACGTCACCGATCCTGAGCTCCTGGGCGATCTTTTCTCGGTTTCCATATTTTAGAAACCTAAAAGTAAAATAAATGTTTTTGAAAGTTATATATAATATATATAAATAATATTTGACTTAAACTCAGGAACCTCTGGACTTGCCTTTTAATATGATTCATACGATTCTCAATGAAGTTCGCTCCGGGGTGAACGTCAGGACCGTTGCGGACTAGTTTTCTCATCAGCTCCAAATTGGCCTTGTTTACCTAAAATATTGAAAAATACTTAAATGAGATATTGTATCTTAATTTTTTTTGGTGTATGTTTTTTCCTTGAGTGATTACATTTCATCACCTTCTCTGGATAGGTGAGAATTTTTGCCACATGTACTGGTACGGCCACTTCATCGATCCTTAGATTAGGGTCTGGAGAGATGACGGTTCTCCCAGAGAAGTCCACTCTTTTACCTGAGAGGTTTCCTCTGAACCGACCTGTGAGTTAACACAGTTCAAATATAACTATGTGCAGATAACACAGTGAAAATGCATGCGTATGGTATATATTATTGGGATTGTAAAAAATTAAAAGTTAGTAGACTGGAAAATCAACATGGATCATATTCTACCTTGTTTCCCCTTCAGTCTCTGCACAAATCCTCTGGTCCACTTTTTCGGAGCCATGTTTAGAGGAATGCCCGATAGCTCACTGTTGATGTAGAGGGCACACTGGAGCTGCAAGAAATCCCAGTCCTCCATGATCATCTGCGTCTTAGCGCCTGTCATTCGATGCTGCAAAATAAAATTTAAAACATTGCTGCCTTGTGAAAATTGCACCTCAGACATTGCATACTTAGCAAACTTAGTTGTGTCAGTTGTCAGTGACAGACACCAACCTTTTTAATCACATCATTGAGGAAGATTATCTCTGTGAGCTTCATGGTGAGGTCGTCCTCGTTGGTGCCTGACTTCAGGTCACTGACCACTGAGGGTCTTATGCATAGAGGCGGCACCAGGAGGCGGGTAAGAATGAGGTCTGCAGGTTTGCCTGCTTCTGGGTTCATCAGAAGGAGTGGAATGTCTTCCTGAGGGATCCGTTTGAAGAGGTTGAGAACCACGAGAGGGTTCAAGTTTTCCTGGGAGAAAATGTAAATGAGGCCTGTGTAAAATTTCTTGTTAAGAAATATTCTAGTTTTTTAATTTATAAAAAACTTATATCATTTACAATTAATTATAAAGAGTATAATTGGTAGAATTGCTGCTACAATTACATGGATTAGAGCAATTAAATCATTCCATAAAAGTGCAAAATCTCAACAATAGGTTTCAAACAAATAGCAAACAAATAAACTTAATAAAAGTTCCAGCCCTGAGTATGAAGAGTTCACCTGTGCTCGGGGCAGCAGTGGCTCCATCACTTTGTTGTGCTCTATGGCAATGTCAAAGGACTGCAGGAAATCTGACACAAAAGGTTCCACCACTTTTTTGGTGGTCTTGTATTTCTCATGGATGATTTTGAGAAGCCCACACTTTTTTACCGATCCTTAACAGATAACACAAAAGAGACACCAATTCAGTTCTTCACCATGGGACGAGGAAACTGAGATGTATGTGTGTTTGTGAGAGAGAGCGTTATTTCTGGTGTGAAAATATCTCACCGTTAAAGGCGGAACAGTTCAGACAGATTGTCTTTTTGCGACATTTATCAGAGATTTTCTTCTTCAGCCCTCGTTTCTGCAGATATGGCAGGTTGGGTCGCTTCAGGAAATCAGTGAACTGCTGTCTCTCTTCTTTCGACAACATTATGCTTGAACATGTCTTGCAAATCATCTAGGAATGAGACAAAATAGACAATTAGAAAATAATCAACTTATCAAAAGAATATTGAAAACAAATAATTGTTAGAATAAATACATCTTAAATGAGAAGGAATATTGAGCCAAAGAATCAAGTCACTTTGATAAAACTTTTATTTCTGGAACTATAGTGACACCTACAGGAAGAAATAATTTCCCTTACGCGGCATTTAAGAAACGTTCTGCCAGTTAACATTCTGTTGATATATATATTGAGCAATACGAGTGAAAAATACTCTTTAAATGACAAACATGCTGTTTTAATAACTCTAGCCCCTTTTGTCCTAGAAACAACACTGACCTGCAAGATTCCAATGATTGCTTTGAAGTAACCGACATGAAAACATGGAAGCTCCAGATCCAGGTATCCATAATGTCCCAGACAATCAGCCAGATTCTTCCCACAGGTCTGACACGGCCTGTCTTTTTCACTGGTGCCCTGTTGGACACAAAGCAGATAATGTGTTAATTTGTTTATTTGAAATAGAGGTGACTGATTTTTGAAAATGAAATGAATGATTTTTACCCTCGGTTCTCAAACATTTAAGAACAGACTAAATGAGTAAAGTTACAAAAATACAACTATTTTTATCAAACCCAATAAGAACCACACAAACCATCTCAGTGCAGCATTTTATATGTATAATAATAATAATAATAATAACGGAATCAAATATTTCCTTTAAATAAACCAAGCATTCCATTCTATTGCACTTGGGGGCCGACAAATAAACAGCAGTTTTCTGACTTGGAAAATCTGACAGTTTACAAATTCTTCAACTTAATATGACACGCAAGGCAGTCTGGTCAGTACAGAAAGACAATTCTGTTTTCATGGCATGTTTATAAAGGGCTGTGAAAAGAGTGTCTGCTTTGTACCATTCGGTGGTCCAACACTCCATAGGGCAGCGGTGTATGTTTGGTGTCTTGGCTGTACAGATTTTTGCTGACCACCTGAATGTGAGCCTGCTGACGCATCTGTTCAGCAGATTTCATCCCGAAACAGATGTGGCTTCTGTAAACAGAATTAGACGACATGGCAAAGGACGTCACTGGCTGAACAAAAAGAAAATCACATCCAGGTACTAACGACAGGTACTTATTCATACATTATATTTATGATATTTATATATGAGAAATAAACCTTCCCTAATCTACAGTTACATGGTATTTAGGTAATACCAAAACATTGAGTTTGAAATTAAACTCCAGTCACATTGGACTTCCATTACTGTCGTCTAAGGACACCTTACATTCCCAACTTGAGAAAGACAGTCGCGAACGTCCGTGTGCTTTTTCAACCTTCTGACTTTAATTGTATTCTTAAAACGAGAATGTCAATATTTTATGCACTGCACAGCAGTGGCTAATAACGAAGCTAACGTGCTAGCACTGTTTCCCACTGTTATACTTACATTTTCTTAGCCACATCTGTCTCTCTGAACTGCTCTTTCACCATTTTGGCAACTCTTCCTTATCAAATAACAACTTAAATCTACTATTCTGTCTTCATTCCAATGGACTATTCCTGCAATGTCACCAGCACGGTGTCATTTAGTTTCCTCATGTTATGGTAATGCTAATAGCCTTCCACAGTGTTGATAGCATGTGGGTGCAACACAGCTCGAGACAACGTAAAAGAGAAAAGAGACGGTATTAGGAGCACAAATATGGACGCTTCAAAGTCACTACTGACACCTACTGGATACTGGGTATAACCATAATTTTACAGTTCGATTATTATATAATTTTAAGTCTTTAAATGGGTTATAATTTTTTTTCTGTCATTTAGCTTAGAGTAAAATGTAGAGTAATAAAACAGAATAATGTTATGAATGTGGGTGTTCATTAGATGTGTCAATGAGGAAGAGGGATGCAGCTCTTTTAAAATGCCCTTTAATCAACAAGCTATTTTAATTATTACTATATGAATTATTTAATAATTTCAAATGTGACAATCAAGATATATAGTATATAAAAATAACAGATGTATCAAAATATAATCTGAATGTTGAGATAGAGGTACAGGTAAATGCTTTCTTTCCACAACATAACATTGTTGAATGGTTCTAATCAATCAATCTGTTTTTTAATGACAAAATCTGATCCAGAAAATGTATGAGTAATATTGAAGTGAGGTCAGTAAAGTACACGAAAGATCCTTCAGCATTGAGTCACTGCAGCAGTTATTGCACTTTCAGCAAGTTACACATTGTCCTGAGAGGGAAAAAGTATATTTCCAAGAAACGATGTTTTCTGAGGTTTTTTCTTTTTCTTTTTTTCCCACATATAGGCGTCATGATTCTTCAGTGCAGAGCTGACCCACTTCCTAAAGCAATACGTCACTGAAAGGACATCACAGCACATCTGTGGGTCATGCACAGTTCAATCGCTGCAAAGTGTACGTCTGATCACGAGATGGCAGCAAATACATGTACAATAGCTGGTAAGAAAACGTAAGAAAGGGTAAACAGAGAAGAAGAGGGTTTTTTTTTGTTGTTGCTTTTTTTCCCTTGCTTTTATGCACACTGTTGACAGTGACTGATGACTTTCTGATAAGAACCATAATCCTTGGTCTAATTATTTCTACTGACAACTGAAAACCTCAAACAGTGAAAATTGTGCCCTCAATCATATTTCCCTTTCTGCCATTTCTGCTGTTGCTACTGGGATCTAAATATATGGAGACCTTCAATTAAACCTCTCATAAAGTGTTTACAGTGTTGGTGTTTAAATCTGCCTCCTGGGAGCTTGCTTTCTAAATCTTTAAATCTGGAGACAAATAACTGAAGGATATTAGGACGTATCAGTCTGTGCAAATATACATCATCTAAAGAGCATAAGTAATGATCCTGAAAA